CTGGTGGGAGTTGGTATTGCTGACGTTGGCGTATGTAGCGAGTTTCATATAAATTTTAGGAAACTCTATGCATCATATGGCTCCCATGGGCGCCGCCATAGTCCTTTTTGAGCGCACAAATTGACATGACTCTCAAAAAATGCACAGCCGAAGATGAGCGATTTGTACTCCCAACGACCTCTTTTATAGTACCCCCGAGCGCAGCCCAACATGGCGGCGTTTTTCAGGTGCGAAGCAGCTTATGGCGGAGTTCAATCCAGTGTGCGGCGTGACCATCCTATTGCCCATTTGCGTCCCCTCCCCCTCTTTCACGAGTCGTCGACGAAGGCAACGAAATGCTTCTTCAGCAGTGCGAAATCATTACCCGGCATGAAGGCATGACCAGAAGTCCAGAGCAAGTGGACACGCTGTGGGATGGATGTGTCGATGTTTGTTGCTTTGAGTAGAATGTGGTGGGCCACCTTAATGGAAAAGCCGCGTCTCATCGAAAAGGCTCGGCATGCATGTTGTGAATCAGTTAATATGTAAACCTCCCCAGGAATGTCCTCACGAAGTCGCTCGAGAACTTACTCACTGAGCCGCCCGGCATGGTGAGGCCGAGAGCCCAGATCAAGTGGGTCACATACCGAGACATATTGGCATTTTACACCAGAGTTAAGTGCACCATGCACACGCCCTCGCCGTCGTTCTCCCGAGAGGAAGAGGTGGCACCGTGCCAACTCTGAACGAATACGTTCCCCAGCCTCCTTTCCATGCATAAATTCTACCCCAACCGCTACGCCGACTCTTGTCCAGGCAGTGGCAGCTCCCCAACAGTACACCATGTCACGGTGAAGTGCGCCTTTTGATTGGGCGCCTTTTGAACTATTTTGATTTGTAGCTTTTATCTATACACACATACATATCCACATATGGCACATGGTATATACATATGGCACATGACTAAAGCGATGGAAAAAATCACCGAGAGTTTCTAATAATCGCTATCGCAATAAACTCACAGCGATCCTTGTGCATTCATTTAATATGATCCAAAGGCAGAAGCCATCTTAATTCTTTCTTAATTCAGTTGATGTCTGGAACATGAGTGGCGACACGCCCAACCTCCAAGCGCAGTCTTCATTTTCTTCCCTTGTTGTCCCGCGCCCTACGGTTTTGTTTCCCGCACAAGAGAGGGCACTACAACAGCATGACGTGGCGTACATGACATTACGCCAGAATTTGTGACATCATATTGGGACGACATCAAATAACGATTTTTTGCATCAATCATCCCCTAGGCCACAGGATAGTCACCACTGACAATTTCCCATTTGACGAGGCTTCTAAAGCCTTCGCTTTAGTAATTGCGGAGCGTAATGAAGTGCTGCACTGGACACGAGCATGCGCTTAGCTTGGGCAAAGAGAAGCGTAGCAGAATAAAACAGTCAAGGACGCTCATGAAGACTATTTATTTATTTATTTGAATATACTGCAGCCCAATTAATATAGAACGAAAACAACAGAGCAAAAAAAAAACAACAATATAAAACTGAAATACATTAGAGCAATGGGCAAGAAAACAACACTTTGCATATTACAAACAAGAACTTAAATAGGTTTGAAATGGTTAGTAGCGGCATCAAGTGAAATCTTTAATGATAGTGAGCAAATCCGTATGCGGACAAAAACTGAATTTGAATGTGTTAGTACGAGCAAATAAAGGCTTTACGTTCAAGTTGTGCGAAATGCGTGTGCAAGTTTCGTTCATAAATGCTATGTTGTTACCGCCAAGGATGCCAGTGGAGGAGTAGATCATTGTATATAATAGTTTCAAAAATTCGACACGGTAACAGGAATGCAATGATACAATGTTTAGTGATTGCAGGGCCTGTGATGGCTGGAGCTTGCGGCTGTAGTTACGGCATATGAAACGGATGGCTTTACGTTGGACGCTGTCAAGTATTTTTAGGTCACCGTATTCGTGAAGGTACCAAACAACAGAGGCATATCCTAAAATAGGCCAAATCAACGCTTTATACAGAATTAATTTAGTATCGCAGGGGGAGTCAGCCAAGGTATAGCGCAAATACCATAATTCTGAAGTTATACACGGAGTAAGCAAGTTGTCTTGGTTCCAGCTTTATATCTCAAGAACTTTTCCGTATCTTGATGTGAAATATCGCAACTCAATAAAAAAGTTTTGGATTTGCACTTTGGCAGTTTTAAATCTGTAGCTTTTGTTAACATCTTGTATTTATGTGGAGATGGGACTCGAAAAATGCAAGGTTTTTTCTAAAATTGTAATTTTTTTTTCTTAATTGCTTTCACAAGTTTGGTTTCTCTACTTTCATGACAAAAAAAATCAAGATAGTAGTTAGTAAGCTAATAATATCATTTTTAAAAAACACAAGGTGGCTATATAAACTAAGAAGAGCTCATTGTCTACAGTCCCCTGGAAATTGTCCCCTGGCAGCTTGCCATTGCATTTTGCATGAGCAGTTCACCAAAGCCACATGCCCAAAATAACAGTAATTCCCAAGCTCTCATGATAGAAGAGGTTATTTAAAAAAAAACACATCATTGCCACACAAATGAGCCTTCATATCTACGTTTCAATTGCATTTCTCTTGAGATGCAATTTTAGACAACATCCCAAGTTTTGGCATCAGACTTTTGGTACTTGATAGCCAGATCAAGATAAAATTTTTTGTCACATATTTCTCAACATGTGAAGAGTGCAATTATCTTTTTTAAAGCATGATATCATTTACACAATTATGAATTTAAAGTAAGCAATTAGCATGGGCTGAGCATTGAACACTTCTTACATTACAATTTTTCTTTTCATTTAAATGTGTTATACACACTTTTTTGACAGTTATTTACATTCTGCAGTTAATGTGGAGTGTTGCGAGACATCAATGACTCATAGTTATAATAGTTTCAACTTACTAATAACTATTCAACTTACTACAGAACTGAATACATCTTTGAAATCAACATGCAAACTTATGTGAAAATATTTATCTCCTTCAGCTACAGATAAAAGATATATATTTTTTCGAGTCACATCTTCTCTTAAGCATCGGCTTCTGCAAGGTCTCGAGTAGTAACGAGACGTTTACCCCTTATGTCAAGAGGTCTCAAACACGCAACTTGCCAGCTGCATGAAAGAAGCGCGGACTTTTCCAAGCAGCTCGTGGCTTCGCAAAAAAATAAAATCGCTAAATGGTGCCCACGTTATTTACTCACCCACGGCAATTAACAACTCTTTGATCTGTTGAGTGACAAAGACGAGACTGAATTCAATAATTTTTTTTTCTGAACCACTCCTTAGGGTCACCAATGCGTTGAAATACAAGCTGCCAAACAAAATCATGATTTCACAATCCTGCGCCCACATTCGAGTGATTCTGGGAATCGGTGTGATTACGTACCTCAAATTCTGATGACGAATACTATACTGCAAAAATGATCCATATATAAATACAGGATGTGTGATTTTCCAAATGGCAGCGTTAGGCGAGTGAGTGAGTTTGATGAGGTCCAAATAGACACGAGTTAACTCGACGCCACCTGGCTAGGCCCACTCGGCAGAGTTAGGCGATATTTTATTATACCCTCTTCCACCACATCTTCCCTCGCTTCAACCTTGTTCAACTGCAACGTGTGGGCCGCTAACCCAGTTGAGTTTAACAATGAAATACTAACTGGGGTTTCACATCTCAAATCCACAATATGGTTATGAGAGACGCCGTAGTAGAGGGCTCCCGAAATTTCGACTATCTGGAGTTCTTTAACCTGCATCGACATCGCCAGGCCCGTAGCAAAGAATTTATAGGGGCGAAGGGGGCACTTTTTGAAAACTTTAAGAAAATCTAATTTTTATTATTTTTCCTCGGTAAAACACTTTATTCCATCCGGATTTGGGGAAGGTAGTAGTTAGGGCCCTAACCCTTCTGGCTTTACGCAGTACACGGTCCTCCATCATTTTGCCTCCATCGAAATGCGGCCGCCACGGCCGGGGTCAAACCTGTGACCTTCGGGTCAGCAGCGGAGCACCCCAGCCGTGTCCCACGGAGGCGGACAGCCAAGGCGAGTTTGAGACTCCTGATTTATGTGGATTTATGTGATTTATGTGTACAGAAACCGAACAATTTAGGGCTAATTGACACACATACTTCCGCTTCCACAGTTTTCAGTTCGAGTTGTATCGGTGTAACAGACTCAAACGGGTAGGTCAGAGGGAACATCATCTTGAGCAACTAGATTTGCCGCAACATGGCCTGGTTATCTAGAGAAATCCCACATACACTTAAACCTCGATCTAACGAGCCCATATATAACAAAATATAGATTATAACGAAGTAAATAAAAAGTAGCCTTGCAATAGGTTTACCATTGGGAATGTACCTTTATAACAAACTCTCTGATATAACAAACTTTTTTCGTGTAAGGAGCAACTTCGTTATAATTAGGCTTCAGTGCACAAGTTGTTATGCTGAAGTCTTGATGTCGTCTTTGTATCAGAGAGCACTCTGTACAGCATGTCCTCATGGCTGCTCATCAGCAAGAATACACGAGTCTTCATTGACTTTACATCAAACAAAATATTCGATTGGTCAGTGAACACTGTCAAGATGCATGAGAAAACAATGAAACATCCTTGCCACATTACACTGCATGCTAATTGATGATCAACTGAACAAAAAAAAAAAATGAACTACCAGTACTCAATCTGGGGCTTTAGCGTTCCGTGAATGGTCCACCGCCTAGAGCTTGATGCTGCATTTACGCGACGCTTCCTACACAGGATAAAACGTGCGCCTAGTACAGAGTGCTCCTGCGACCACCCTGACCATGATTTACATCACCTCCTTCTGGAGTGTCCGAAATATGAAACACAAAGACAAGTATTACGTGGAAGTTTGCAACTTTTAGATAGGAGGCCTTTCACAGGGACGAAAATACTAGGTTCATGACCAACTGCAGGTCTTCAGAAAAGAGCACTTGTTGCCTTCAAGAAGTTTCTTAAAGAATCAAATATTTTATGAAAATATTGACCTACCGTAAATGATTTCGTCTTCATGCACAAAAAAATATGTAATATTTAGACAGTGTGCTTCATATGTGAAATCACCTGTCTCCGTGTGAACTGACCTTGTATGAGGAAATTGTGTACATACTACCAGGCAAATATGACCTGTCATGTGAGGTGAACTGACCTGGTGTGTGGAACATATAAATCTCTTAGTTGAATGTGAACTGACCTGTGAAGTTCGGCTATTGTGTACTATCACATTGTATGTTGTACAGTCTCGCATTCCATGCCCATATTGTTGATCATACGGCATATCTTGCCTACTAAGAGAAAAGGAGTAGCCGGTGCCACCATAATGGCACCAACCTCTCCTATTTCATCATTTTAATAAAAAAAAGTCAGATATGTAAAGAAAAATTGCAAAGCCGTACACTCAAATTGTCATTGGCGTTAATGCTGATACATGTGTATTCTAAGGCTATCACCGCGTGTAAACGTCTGCAAACATATAGAGCACTGATATGGCCGTTCGCCTGTGTGGGTACGCACATGATTCTTCAGGGTGTACCTATGTGCAGACCTGAATGGGCACAGGTGACATGCATAAGGGCGCTCTCCTGTGTGGGTGCGCACATGATCATTCAATGTGGTCTGTAATGCAAAGCTTCGCTCGCACAGGTGACATTTGAAGGGCCGCTCGCCCGTATGAACCCTGATGTGCCGCTCCATATGAGTCGGAGTCTCGTAGCTGCAGTAGGGGCAACGATGGCGGCTTTCTCGAGGAGGCTTCACAGCAACCGTGGCCTCTGCCTGGGTGATAGACCCTGGGTGTGCACACAGAAAAGGTAACAAGATAGCTCACTCAAGTACCGCTTTCCATTTGAGCAGAAAATGAACTGAAGTGCAAGGGTTTTCCGTGGCAGCAATACACTATTGTTACGAGTCGGGCAGCAGGGGAAAATTTCATCACTTTGAAACTACCTACATAATCTGACCCTTTCTGAAATACAGCTATTGCATCCGTGGCAATAAAATATAAAAAAATTAAAAAAGAAAATAACACCGACCGACTCAAGCTCTATCGCTGCTATGTGAATGGCTTCATGGCACATTCAGGAACAAAGCACACTGGTAAACATTTCTCTTTTGCTGAAACACACACACACACACACATGCTAGTGTTCAAGGACCAAGTTAACGAAACACATTGCTACTATGCTAATAAAGGTTATTTTCTACCCAGTACAGTTGTCTCAATATCTTTATATTTTTAAACATACCTCAGTAGATATATAAAAATACACTGGCTCCTAGTCATGGTGAACGAGCATGGGTGCTAGTCTAAACAACACAATGTGGAACAAGACAGGTAGTTATTTTCTCTGAGCTAGGGTTCTATGAGCAACGGGATGTATATTTTAAATATCATAAGAAAAACAATCATAAAAAGGTAGCATTTTAAAAATGACCATTGTGAACCAGGAAAGCATTTCATCAATTTTTTTTAGTCGTGGGTTTGTATTAATCATAAATAATTGTGGCAGTCCTTCAACTTTCAAGAGCAATCAACTCCACTCTCTTAGAAACTGAACAACGTAATTAAGAAGTGGTTCCAGAAATCGACCGTGCTAGAAAAGAGAGATTACAAATACATGAGCATGGCCGAAAAGGATGGAACAATACTGTGCGAACGAAAAGCACTCTAAGTATGAGATACAAAGATGCGACATCACGAAATGTAGATAGAGACAGAAAATAGCACGAAATATTCAAAGAAAGACAGAAAACAGCAATTCATGACGTGATGCAATGAATCCAATTGGCCTCATAGTCGTCTGGTATTTGGTGGCATGCATCTAAGGAGAGAAAGGGGGGAATAAATTGTTAGCAAAAGTGAACAATACGAGACGGAAAGCAGGCTTTGCCACTATATGCTTTAAGCTTATCGCTACAGAAAAAGCAACTATCAAGACAACGAGCAAATATGGCCTTTTGCTGATATTTAAAGAATAGTGGACACATTTCTTGAAACACCCTATATACAATACCTTACGTTCCTAGGGAAATTAAAATGTAGTTATGCTGATTTTTGAATTTTTTTCGTGTGCTACCCACCAGTAAATTCCTATGTCTTGCCATGAATCCAAACGTGTTAGGCCACCATTGTAAATTTTAAAAAAAATCCTTCGAAGAGATTGGCTATGAAAAGCCTTATACCAGTATGCTCAATCTGCCGTAGATAATGCAAGTGACATTGTACAACAATAACGGTTTAACCTTGAAATAGTCTGGCATAAACAGGTCGTATGTTCAGCAGAGATTGAAGTACTGTCATGTGGCCTAAATTCTTCAAAGCAATGCCTCTTAAGCCCTTACAAAAACAGAGATTAAGTCGTCTTTAATTACGGGTGTCAAAAAAAAAAAAAAGAAGCTAGAAAGATCAAAGCATTTCTACAATGACCATTACTCCAAGACATTTCTTCACTAAACTCCATTCAATGGCAATAACAAATCCGCAAATCAGAGCCATCACTGAACTTGCATAGGAACATGTTAAGCACAATGAAATGCTAATAAGGGTTGAAATACCAGGAATGCACGACATTTGCAATATACAATATTTTAGTTGAAGGAAAGAAATGAAAATTTAAGGGCTGGTTTTTCTTTGTTGAATGGCGGTTCCTCACCTACCGTGAAGACGAGCATTAACTTCCCTTATCTTTTGGCTGAAACCCCGCACAAGCTGGCAACCCAGGTAACGAGGCCGGCCAACGGCCAGCTCGAAAATTCGTCAACTGAGCGACGTGCCGTGCCACGGACCCCCGAGGACCGCGGTGAGCCCCGGACCTGCTATCACGAAATAGCTCAGCACTATCGTCTCATGCGTTAAGCCAAGCCACCACCACATACTTGACTAACGAAACCACGAGAGGTCGCATGGCGTCACATCCAGACGAACTCATTCCTGTGCGTGCCCACAGATATGCACACTTATTTAGTGCTCCCCTCTTTTTCGGTTCGCATTGCTCTTGGTGTGGCTCCGTCACCTGCCTCTCTAACATATAATGGGACTGCAGTGAGGAACTACAGCTGCCTGATCTCCTGACCAATCAATCCCTCACCCGAGGCGTGGAAAATTGTACACTGTAAACCGAGCCTTGACATACACATCCAGGCCACACAAAGGGCCGAGGAGGTGACGGCCAGGTGCGGCTTGACCGCCCTCTCTCTGTGAAAAACTCCTTTTCCACTTCAATAAAGTTTCTTCTCTCTCCCTCATTGTTAGACGCAATATTAATGAGAAGTGACGGACAGCGATGTCGAAAAAAGTGTAGGGGATGTTATTAGCAGAAATTGTACTGCAAACGTAAACAAAGCAAAGTGGACGAAAAGATGAAGAAACCGAACCTGCAACCTTCGAATAACGCGTCCGACGCTCTCATTTTAACCCATTATTTGAACGCCACAGGTTCGATCCCAGCCAACGGAAAGTTATTGTTTAATCCATTTTCTATTTTTCTTTACATTTACATTAATTAGAATTACTACTGACTTCTGCTATACTTTTTCGGCATCGTTGTGTGTTCTTATTAGTATCTCATTTAGTGTGACCAAAAGTAATATTAGAAATAATAATGTGACAAATGGTTAAGCACTTATTTAGTGAAAAGTGTTTGTACCCAAGAGTAAATCAACACAGCTAAAACAACAATAACAGGCTACAACAAAGATAGGCTCAAGATAAAGCTCATGTGTAGTGAACACAGAGGCAACAAAGGTATGAGCTTATTATGTAAAGACCACGCCTTATCATTCACCAAGCAACACTACACAATGCACCAGTCATACAGCTGTACCAGAAGTAAAAGCAGGGTATGTGTAATATTATTGATATTCCACAGTCATTTAGAGCAATTAATGAGTCGAGTTTTACCGCCTCGTTACAGTTTTCAGACGCCCATGAAACAGATTCAGACTGCTTCAATTATCACAAAATTACACGTACACAGCACAGTGGTACGACAGTGAGACATATTCGTGGTTTCTGGCCAGCACAAGTACACAGGGTTTCCATTCGCGTCATAACAAAGAGAACGTACAACTGGTCTATCAAGAGTACTGTGAAGAAACACTAAAGAAGACTAAAACTTTCTCATCCCATTTTACTGCATACATAGACTCTATATTAGGAGAACGTACTGTGCTATAAGTACTAAGACATGCATGTCACGCATAGCGCAACAAATGCACAGGGCTCCAGCACAGTCAAATGCATTTCCACACACAAAAAAAGACCTCGCACAGGTGAGATTACACTGAAAATTGTCACTGGTGTTACTGCCGATACAGATGTCTCTCAATAGGTCCACTACGCAGAAAGGTGCGGTGGCGTGGAGGTCATTGAAATGGCCGGTGGTGTGTGGGTGCACGCATGGGACTTTAGCGAGCTCTCGTGTCGCAGGCAAAATATGGTTACTTTCCTTTATGTCTGAGTATGTGAGTGTACAATGTGGCCCTTTTTGAGAAGGCCTGAGAGAAAGAGGGCATTCATGTGAACGCTCGCCTGTGTGGGTGCGCAGGTGGTCATTCAACGTGGACCTTCATTTAAACGGCCGCTCGCCTGTATGAACCCTCATGTGCTGTTTCAGATGGGACAAAAATCGTGCTCTAACCCGCACACGTTACAAGGGTAACAGCGTCCCCGATGTGGCTTTTCAGCATCCGCAGTTGCAGGAGAGATAGAAGAACCCGAAGCTGCGCAGAGATAACAAGAGAACAGGCTCAAGTACTGCTTTTCATTTGAATTGAAAATAAACTGTAATTAAGGGTTCAGAAGGCAACACCACTCAAGGATTAACAGTCGTGCACCAGTGGCGTGTATCCAGATTTATTTATTTTTTTTGTCGGTATTTCAGTGCTCGTATCAAAGATATACAAGATATTTAGCATATAAAACCTAGTGCTATATCAGAAATCGAGCGATATAATGTATTCAGTCATATCTTATTACTATAGAATTTGGCTTTATTGGTGTATTATCAATGATGCTCACTGAGAAATTGCGATTCTACTACGTGTCATGAAAATTCCTTTTTAACAGTTTTCTCTCTGTTGCAGCTCTTTAAATGCAGGCATCGCCCCCGTTTTCGACTTCAACGGTAAAGAGATATTATTTGTTTCTTTTTCAGCCGTCCTGATTGATGTTTAGTTGTATGTAGTATTCTAATATGCTGTAATTGAAAGCATGCTAATATGTGCAAAACAGTGACTAGATTACTGATTGCAGCAAGACAGTTGAGTGCAATAGGTTATGCCGAATACACTTTCTTAGGAACAATAAGAGAGTTTCACAAACTTCACCTTTAGCAGTTGCATATATATTAATATCTAGTAAGTGCAAAACAGTTTTTCAGACATGCTTTGTTTATGAAACTCTCTTGAAGCCTTTTCATTGAAGAATTTGTATAAATGAACATTGCTCTCACTTCACATTTTTGGCTGTTCATAACTGTTGCTATAGCGGTGGCATTTTACTGGGGGGGGGAGGGGGGGGGTTAAATACCAAAACACCAGTGTACTTGGATTTATGCACACTTGAGAAAAGGCCCTGGGTCGCTCAATGTTATCGAGGCAGTGGAAAGACATTCCATTGGCACAAGAAAATCACAGCTCACATTTGTGAATGCACCGTATTAATATTCTTAAAAACTTAATCCAAGCTCCAGCATAGTTAACAAGGCATCCATGTAGGGATTTCGATCAGCACACAACCTTTTGGCGAAAGACTAAATTTCCACTTTTTAAAGAAACACATGCAATCGCGCTTCTTCAGTGTACCAATACGCTGAACCCTCTACAAGCAAAACGAAAATTCACATGTGCAAAGCCTCTGCAGGTAAACAATAACATTAGGCATTTACTATGACTGTGCATACTGATACAAGTCCTCAACAAGAATGGTTATGCTCTTAAATGCTCTGAAACCCCAAAGGAATATCACATAGGTACTACATATCGTAGGGGTTTTTTATTAAAAAAAATTTAAAAACCTTTAATATTCAAAACAGGTGCCCTCACCTACATCCTAATATGACCAAAATTTGTGGGTATGCGGTGGTGCATACCCACTGTGCGGTGAGGGTTCGAGGACAACCTTTTGTAATGGGTTGGAGCACTGAACGACCCACGCGTTAAGCAATTCGCGTTGTACTATGCCAGGTTGTTCGTTTGCTTCTCTAAAACGCTTTATTACTCATATTAACACGATTCCTTTCGTGAGATACACCCGCTGCGGTGTCTAGTGGCTAAGGTACTCGGCTACTGACCCGCGGGTCGTGGATCAAATCCCGGCTGCGGCGGCTGCATTTCCGATGGAGGCGGAAATGATGTAGGGCCGTGTGCCTAAATTTGGGTGCACGGTTAAAGAATCCCAGGTGGTTGAAATTTCTGGAGCCCTCCACTACGACGTCTCTCATAATCATATGGTGGTTTTGGGACGTTAAACCCCATAAATCAAGCAATTTTTTCGTAAGATAAAGCCTGCCTAAGGCCAGTTTGCAAAAGAGTCACAAGCAGCGGCATTGCTTAGTGTTTGAACACTGGGCATACCCGGAGGGGACCCGGATTCGAATCGCATTGTGTCCTTGGTGTTTCTCATTTACAGAGTTTTTTTTTTTTCTTTCTATTTTGCGCGGAAGCGGTTACGGACACCGCACGTCTTCATGCTTGGTCGGCAACACGAACATATGGGTTTTTCCCTGGCCTTTTAGCAGATAATATTAAACTGACCAGCAAAAAACACTATAAAGAGGCACTAGATAATAATAAAGCATTCTTGCTACATTATACAACTTCCACATAGACACTTAATCAGAAGGAAGCCGTTTTAGAAGTACTAATAGCGGGGCTTTAATGTACCACATGACTCAGCAGATTCCACAGTGCTCTAGAACAAGTCAAATTTACCTTTACAAAGAAAAAGTTCACACAGTAAAAATCACATTAAACTGGTCAGTGGTGTGCATGCTGACGCATGTGTCATCTGTGATTCGCCCTAAACATAAACCTCTGATGTCATAAAGGGCATTGATATGACCGCTATCCCAGGTGGGTGTGCAGGTGATTCTTCAAAATGGAGTTTAGCGCAAAGCCCTGGAAACACAGGTGGCACTTATACGGTTGCTCTCCTGTGTGAGTGTGCAGGTGATTATTCAATATAACTGTTAGAGAAGCATTGGGGACATAGGTGGCATCTATACAATCACTTGCCTGTACGGGTGTGCAGGCAATTATTCAATATTGATTTGTGCGAGAAGATTTTGGCACACAGGTGGCATTTACACAGTTGCTCTCCAGTGCGAGTGTGCAGGTGAATATTCAATATGGACTGTTGTGAGAAGCATTGGGGACACAGGTGGCATTGAGACGGCTGCTCGCCTGTATGAGTGTGCAGATGATTATTAAAATGTGAATTTGCGTGAGAAACTTTCGGGCCACAGATGGCATTTATATGGTCGCTCTGCTGTGTGGGTGTACAGGTGATTTTTCAAGCTGAACTTTTCTGAGAAGCCTCGGGGACACAGGTGGCATTAAAACGGCCAGCTTGCCTGCATGAACCCTCATGTGTCGTATCAGGTTAGACAACTTGTTAGTCTTGTAGTTGCACACTTTACAGTGGTGACAGCATTCCCGATGTGACTTGTCCAGATCCATGGTGGCAGGAGGAATGAAAGACCCCGAAGCTGCACGAACAAGGCAGATTACTTAAACATTGCTTTTCATTTGAAAAGAAAATGAATTCTAATTTTAAGATGTTGTAAACCAACGTTCTATAACTGCGAGTCATGTTGCAGTTAGAATATCTTAATAAACTTCAAGCCACCAAGAGTTTTTCTAACTTATGCACAAGTACACAAGAATTGTGGTATTTTATCCCTATTACAACACTGCAACAGTAGCCGTGGTTATCAAAAGTAAATGAAATGCAATGATGCGAGTGAAGTTGATTGACACAAAGCCTGTGATAGAGGAAGCTTGAAGACAATCAAATATACAATATAAGAATGCCATATGTTATTGTTAATAAGGCCACCAGAAAGCTTGCTACTGAAGAACATAAACTAGGAAACCTGAAAAGCAACATTGCTCTCCAGCACTGAAGTTGAGAGCAGAGGGGATGCCCAGATTTAAAAATTTTAAAAAATGCTAGGGCAAGTGAAACTGTGAATAAATAATTTTAAAACACCTAGCAGACTCACAAACCATTTTTCAGTGATTATTATTGATGAAAATACACCAATGAAACCACATTCTAAGACAATACCAAATCAGTAAGCATATTATATCACTGAACTTACAATGCAACAATATGAAATAATATGCTAATGATCTCATATAACATTTGTGCAAGCACTGCAGTACCATGAGTGTAAAATATTTACAAAACACAGTAACATAGTTGGCACTACACAATGCACTTATAGAGCTAAACAGGTGATAAATTAGTAAATGCTTAAGTGGCAGAATTCGCCTCTTTGCAACAGGACAATAAAATAAAAGCTATAACATAATGACAGGAAATAAAAAGCGACCTCCAAGAAACCTTGCATGTACAGAATAAAGAGGTAACAAAAGCACAAGTGTAAAATGAGAAAATATTACATGTTATCATTTGGCGGGCAACAGTTACAATTTTAGTGGAAACAAAGACAGTCAGAAAAAATAAAACCTCCATTCCTTGAATAAGAGCGGAAATATATCAAGATGGTAAATTTAACTTAGTGAAATATCGAACAAGCATTATGTGAGCCTGAAGTTATATGACAGAACTACAATGTGTTCATTAATGAAATGCAAAATTTTTATCACAATATGACAAGGCAGGATTAGTGGAATCTATAATATACAAGTTCAAGTGAAACGGCCAAGAAAAAAAAAATTTCCACTGATGGAAGTAAATCAGAGCACACATTTGTGTATGACCACTGCTAGTTTTCTTAAAAACTTTGAAAATGGTGCTTAGCTGTAGCACAATTACCAAGGCAGTCATGTTGCTTCGGATAAGCATACACAACTTTCCTACAATAAACGAAATTCTCGCGTAAAAGGGAAAAAAAAAAGAACACATTTAATCATGCATATCTAGTGCACGCACGCATACCTTACACATGTGTATGCATACACATCTTTCCTTTTTTTGGGGGGGAGGAGATGGGACGTATCTCAACGTCCGTCTAAGGGAGCATGCTTGCCTCTGACAGATACACCGTCAAGGCATATTTTCCTCTATTGTTGATAGTGCGGTTGCACGGCCGGGCTTAACGAATACCCTGTGGTGATGCGGCACAGGGATCAGAGCACGCGCAAAATCGCTGAAGCATTTGAAATGATAAAAGCAAAAGACCGGTACACGGGCCAGCCTTTAATTGCTCTCAAAAATGCTGAGGGTTCATACCTACAGCATAAGTGATTGGTCGGGGTTGACGAAATTTTTTCAGTACCCTCGCTCATGCTTATATATGCCACATTTTTAACATTAAAATTTCAGTCAGACAGCACTTGTGTCGTGCACTTGTGTCCTTTTTCTTGCGCTGACTGTCATGAGTTCATTTCATCTGTGCTAGAATTTCAAGAGCCAGAGAAGGCATGTTTTCAAGGGCACTGAACATGAATAAAAGTATAAAAAGGTTGACCTTCAGTAACAACTATTGAAATTTAAAACCACCTCCCGGTAATCTTTTTCAGTTATGCACTTATAATAATAGTTTTAAAAATGCCTGCAAATAATTCAGCTTTCAAGAGCTGCTGATCCCACTCTGATGAAGAACCTAAATAACGGGCTAATTAAGAAGTTGTTCCAGAAAGTGGACGTGGCAGCACAGAGAGATCACAAATACGTGAGCATCACAAAAAGAGATGAAATCGTGCTGCGTAAAAGAAAAGCATCTAGACTAACGGACACAATGATGTCAGATAACAAAATAGCGTAAATGCAAAATAACATTTATACAGACACTCTAAATAACAAAAAGATAACAAAATATGGGCACAAATAAAAAAGCAACACAAAATAGTGCACAGAAAGCCACAAAGCAGGTGTTCATGGTGTGAGGTATTAAATTCAAGTGGTTTCAGAGTTCGTTGATGTTTGGTGGCATGCATGTCATGGGAGGAAGAAGGGAATAAGATATTAGCAACAGAACACAACCTCAGAAGGAAAAAGTAGCTACCTTTTACAAGAATACAAAATACATGTAAGGAGTGAATTTCATTTATAAGCAAGCCAAGTTAGTCATGAATGATGCTACATCAAATTTCGCGGGCTAATCCGTAGGCACAAAATTTCTCAAGTACTCTTCGGGTTGGCTCAAGCTGTCAATGGACGCTTAGGGCACCTCAGGGTGCCCTTTTGTCCCATGGGAAAAGAAGTCTGGGAACAAATACAATCTAATTGCTTATGTTGAGTGCATCAAATGCTTTTTCTTATGAAGAGCAGCTGCTGAAAGCAAGTATGTTGTGCCTTTGAACCTTGGCGCATACAGAAATAGCCTACATTTTATTACAACATCCGCACTTTGAAGCCCTGCCATTGAGAGGCTGAAGTGGTGTCTGAAAAGACACCAAAGAAGTCCAAGTCAAAGGCAAGTTTGAAGGATTTATCTGTTAGCTTGGACAATGTGCAGCAGCACAAAAGAATGACATAAGGGCGTCTAAGCCCCACATGTTTGGGTCTGTGGTGTGGCAACACACCCCAGTGCATCAAAACTTCAGCCTACACTCCAGGATCTGCCAATACCAACTTCGTTATTTATGGCAGAGGCTTTATACATATATATTTCATTCCTCCTAAGATTAGGATGTAGTTATGCTGGTGCTTGAACTTTTCTTCTGTGGTCATAGTATGTTTACGTGCCCTATGATAAATCCAAACCTGTTATGCCAACATAGTGACTGAGCAAAAAAACAACTTTCGAGGAGTTCAGTTATAAACAGTTTAACACAAGTAGTGCACTGAATGTGCCATAGATAATACAAGTGACCCTGTATCCCAATGACACTTCCAATTCGCATCAGTGCACAATATAATGAATTCTGCAGTAGAGACTACAGTGTTTTCATCGAATCTATCTGCTTCAAGGCAAGCACTCGTATGTCCAGGCAAAAAACAATATAAAGCATCCTTAAAGGGCTGAGCTCCAAAACATCTGAATAAAAAAGTTTATTTTCCCTTAGCGTTTATGGTCTTTTTGACACACTTTGCTACACCAGAAGGGCGATTCAGGTGATGTAATTAAGGCACAAACTGTCAATTAGTTCATATATGTGGAACATCAGTTATTGTCTCGTACCCTGCTTTGCCATGCTGTCAGCTACACGGGCCTGGCGCACCATGCGAAAGGAGGCTTATACACGGCTTACATAAAATTCCTTTGTCACCACCAATGCGACTTTCAATGCTGGTGTTGCCAAATTTGTGCACTCTTACCATATCAATGTTAAGAAACTCTTGTTATCCCATAAACTCATCAGCGATGGCATTTTACCCGATCGCGGCTCTACAAGTTCGAGCTGCTTAGACAAGTGGCGCCATCCGACTGAAATGCGCAACCAGGCAAGAAAATAATTAACCACGTGTTTCCTACTTCAATGAAGTAGGAAACACGTGCTCGATTATTTGCTCTCTATGCACCTGAATCGTAGCTGCCATTTTCCGTCAGTCCTGAGGAGCTTGTGCACATGGCGCAGTCAGTCTGTTGCAATGGATTCCGCTATTCCCCGAGCATTCACTATTCACTGTGTTTGCACCTTCCGTACTTTGCGCTCGCAGTACCAGCATACTTGCTCGATATCCGATTTTCAGCGACATCTACATTACACTAAAACAGTACTGTTCAGTTGTGTTTTGATTTTAATGTTGCAATTTTATTGCTTATCTAAAATTATTATCAAATTTGCCCTGTATTTTTGGTATCATGCCCAAGAGGAGCGTCTATGCAACATACAAGCAAAATCTCTTTGACGTGATAAACAAAAACACAAAAGTTGGCCTTTAACGAATTGATTGATATGTGGGGTTTAACGTCCCAAAACCACCATATGATTCTGAGAGACGCTGTAGTGGAGGGCTCCGAAATTTCGACCACCTGGGGTTCTTTAACGTGCACCCAAATCTGAGCACACGGGCCTAACATTTCCGCCTCCATCGAAAATGCAGCCGCCGCAGGCCTTTAACTAAAAGTGACGTTACACAGTACTTATGAGTTATTAATGAGTCAGTTTTTACAGTCTGATTGCAACTTTTTAGAAGCTTGAGGCATCTGCATCAGACTCCTGAAATCAATACAAAATGTACACATCCACAGCATGTGTTCATGATGACTCAGCATCACAAATACATGGGCATTTCCCTGACCTTAAAACATACACAATATTTAACTGGTCATGGAAGAACACTGTATAGAGGCACAGAAAGTAAGAAAACATTCTTGCCACACTTTGTAGCATGCACATAGATGTTCTAGTGAGAATGAGGCCACTCTATCAGGATGAATAGAGAGGCTATAATGTTCCACGTAGCTTGGATACTCTACAGCACAATAAATCAAATTTAGCTTTACCTTAAAGAAAAGGCTAATATGGTAGAAATGGCATTAAATAGATCACTAGTGTGCATGCTGACGCCTGTGTCGTGTGAGGTTTAAGTTCGACGTAAACGTCCAGATGCACGAAGGGCACCGACATCGCCGGCCGCCTATGTGGGGGCGCAGGTGTATGGTCAACGCGGACTTCTGTGAGAAGCTTTCAAGACACTGGTAGCATTTATACGGTCGCTCTCCTGTATGAGCGTTCAGGTGATCACTCATTGTGGATTTTCGTGAGAAGCTTTCGGGACACAAGTGGCATTTATACTGCCGCTGGCCTGTATGTGCGTGCAGGTGATCCTTCAAGTTGGACTTTCGTGAGAAGCCTTGGGGACACAGGTGACAATTAAATGGCCGCTCGCCTGTATGAACCCTCAAGTGTCGTATCAGTTTAGATGGTGTAGCAGCCTTGTAGTCACACACATCACAGCGGCGACCTCCCTGATGCGACTTGTCCGTGGCCGCGGTTGCAGGAGAGATGGAAGACTCTAAAGCTGCACAAAGAAAACAGGACAGGTTACTCAAAACAAAAAGAAAACAATTATTTTAGCATTTTACACGGCAACAGCATTCTTCAACTTTCGTGTCACAATAGCGAAACCCCCGTTAATTTCGAGCCAGCTGGGTTTTTCCAAGTTCTGCATAAAACCAAGTACACAGGTGTTTTATTGCCCTTATTAAAATGCTACCATGTAGCCGTCCTATGAACAACACAAGAAATGAAATGAGAGGAAAGATGACTAACACAAAGTCTCCGATAAAAAAAAGGCTTGAAGACAACTACAGTAGATTCTCAGTAAATGAAAATTTACAGAAATGCTGCTTCAATGGAACAGCTGCCCATGATGCGATTGGTTTCATACTTGTACTCTACACAACTGTTCATCTCTCAGTAAACGAAACTCCTGTTAAATAGAACACATTTTCCTAGTCCCTCCAGGTTCTGTTTAGCAACTCTATTGCACATAAATATACTCGTGTGTGTCACACCATTATAGTTACTAAGCAAATGTATTCTTTGCAACCACTTGCTGCAATGTCATAAAATACCTTGACTATCCTACAGTACATATACCGTATTAACTCGCATATAACCCTGCATAACGTGCAGGTTATATGCAATAAAATATAAGCATGCCCCAAATGAAAGCACAGTGGTAAGTATGAGACTGAACAACATCATCATCATCATCAGCCTGACTACGCCCAATACAGGGGCAAAGGCTCCTCTCATGTTCCATCAATCAAACCAGTCCTGTGCTGCCTGCTGCCAGCAAACTTTTTTTATCTCATCTGCCCACCTAGCTTTTTCTGTCTTCCTCTCCCACGTTTGCCTTTTCTTGGTATCTGGTCAGTCATTCTTAATGACCAGCAGGTCATCCTGCCCAGACGAGTAAACTAAACAACATTAGGACAATTATAAAAGAACAAAACAACACATTGCTTCCTCAGCACTAAAGCTGGAAGCCGAGGCGAATTCCTATACAGTCAAACCTCCTCACAAGAGACACTGCACCGACATAAGAGACAATGGCTATAACATATGACACCAGCATGCATACACAGAAATAAAGGTCGATAAGAAAACGTGCATTATGCCCTGCTTACAAGAGATACCTCGTATAAAAGGCGAGAAGTGCTCACTGGCGCACGTCTCTCATAAAGAGGTTCAACTATATTGAAGAAATGACCCAGCAAATAAAAGCATGAAGACAAAATCCTATAGATGAATAGCACAATTGTAGACCACCTTTCAGTGATTATTATCAAGAGAAGACATTAATAAAATCACATTCTATAGCAGAATAAGAGCATACATTAAATCAGTGGACTTCCAATGACACTCCTCTATATAATACGAGCTAAAGGGCTGATATACCTTTTAGCAAAAGCACTGAATTATGAAGAATGCAAAATAATCGCAAAGCACAGTAACCTGTTTAGTAAAACAAAACACATCTGCAACAACTAATCATCAGAAATTGCTAAATGCTTAATTGGTGCAAAGTGCTTGTGCGCAAGAAAAAAAAACCTATACCATAATAGGAAATAAAAAAAGTTAGCTGAAGAAACATTTGTACAGTACATAGAGGTAACAAAACTCTGAACCTAAAAGATAAAGAAGATTAGATCTTATTGTTTGGCGAGCAACAAAACAGAATGCACTAGTCCCAAATTTAGATAAAGACACAGAAACGAAAGGCACCTTTCTACAAATCACTGCGTAAATATTGACAAGATGGCAAAGTTTGGCATAGCAGCACAAATTGCTAGATTGCACCGGAACATCTGAGAAGGTACCTTGAAGTTGAACAAAGGAGAGCATAGAATCGCTGTTCTACCGAAAAGGCAAGGAATTATTAGATATCATAATTCAATAAAGAGACATATAAAGTAAATTTTCAATGGTTACTGGTGTTATTGCGGGAATTATTTCCACACTATTCAAATAAACAAGCTTGGTTACTTGCAAAAGAAAACAAAGACGATCACTCAATAACTGCGACAACAGGCTTCGACAAATCTGGTATCACGAACGGAAGTGGCAAAATGCACAGCACAGAATCTTGCTTTTTTGAGATCAGGCAGTGCGCACAAAGTGCAGGTGAAGCTGTCCCGGTGTGGCTTCTGAGCATCCATAGACGCTGGCTAAGTGGCAGGCCCTGAAGCTGCAAAGAAGTAAGGTTACAAGTCAGGTTACTAAAGAGCCGCTTTTTATTTGAATGGAAAATGAACTGAAATTCAAGGGTTTTGCATATAGCAACACCACACTTCCATCAATCAGGAAGTAGTGTGGAAATATAGATTAATTTATTCTAACGTGCATGTAAACAAAAGCCCTTTCGTATTTCAGATGACAGAGTTACAGTTTTATGGACATACATACGACAGTGATTTGATGAAAGGAAGACTGAAAACATGGTGGTATTTTGAGCGCATAAATAGACAAGGAACGAAAGACAGTAGTAGACAGCACAAGCACTGTCTACCTCTGCCTTTCGTTCTTTGTCTATTTACGCGCTCAAAATACCACCATGTTCGAGTACAAACACGCCCAAATTTCAGTGCTTTCAAAGACTGAAAACAGACATCATCCTGTAAACGTCAGTACCCTCTCATCTTGATCAAGTTTGCTTATTAATAAAACAAATACCTTAGCGATTGGTTAAGGCACACACAAACTTTTTTGATGTTCTCATGAGCGGCGGCGAACGCTGTTGTCGCGTTTCTCCGCCATTAGCAGGCAGGCATGAAGGCAAGCGAACACACCGCCAGCAGCGCCACCGGATGACTTTTTGAACGGGTGAAAAAACAAAAGCAAAAATTGGTCTCTGGAGCAACCTAAAGCTGCCTCAAGTACAATTTCAAGTTAAACATGTTTGTTTTTAAGCAAAATAAATCTGCCTGTGAGGATTTCTTGTCCTATCAATAGATTGTCAAGATTGAGCACATTTGCTGTTGGGTGATGCTAGTGGTCACTTTTTATCTACTTTCAACATCAAGTTAAAATTACAATTCCTTTTTTCTGGTACGAAAGCATGCTCGTTGCCGCCAATATGGCGAACAATCTTTTCACTTGCGCCGCAATGAGAAAAATTTTTCTGAGAGGTAGACAGTCCCTTTAACCTGCAACTAAATCTAAGCCACGGGCATATTCGCCTGTATTGAAAATGCAACCGCTGCAGTAGGGATTTCATTGCACGACCTGCGGGTCAGCAATCGCACACCGTAAGTCGTGGTGAGTAATCTAGAAAATAACTTTTGCGATCAAGTCCAGTTCACAGTAATTTATTCCTGGGTGATGCCCTTTTAGTCATAATAAAATGCAGTTGCTTTACATCAATTTTTAACAGCAATAATCTCCACTCTCTTGAAGAAACTAATCAACAGGCTGATTATAAAGTTGTTTGAGAAAGTGAACATTCCAGAACTGAGAATTCGCAAATACACAAGCATTACAGAAAAAGATGAAACCATTCTGAGCAGAAAATAACACACACAAATGTATCATTTCCAAAACTGAAGGTTGACAAAAAATTTAAGTTATAAAAAATAACTTTTGGTGTTTTTTATGCAAGAAGCATGATATTTCTACATGGCACACCACTGTGAAGAGCTCCAGAAGTTTACACTACCCGGTGTTCTTTCATGCACACATAAATATAAGTACATGGGCTTCCAGCATTTCGTCTCAATCGAAATGAGACTGTCACAACCTGAATGGAATCCCCGACTTTGAGGACCCCAGTTGAGCACAGTATCACTACTGAACCACAGTGGTGATTCCATCGTTAAAGAAGACACAATATATTCAATGATAAGCAGTCAGTATCAGTTCATTCATGGTAGAACACGTCACATACAATGTCTCAAGGGTTCATTGCTATTCGCTGAATGCCCCTAGGGAAAGAAAAAGAACAAGATATTATCCACAATGAAGCAATTCAAAAGGATTATTATCAAGGCAAAACCTATTGCTGGCACATAAATGTGATGTTTATCTGCTTCATATTTTGGAGCTGGCTGTGCTATCACATCTGTATTTTCAACTTAATTACTTGTCTCCTGAACATTAAATAAAGAGCAGTAAAATATTTCTGCATGCAAAATTTGTATCTGCATGCCCGCACATGCGCAAAATTGAAATTTGGCGGGGATCAAGGGACGGAACTCCACGCACCCCAGGCTGTGCCACAGCATGCTGTATATCTACGCATAATATCTAAGACACAAAGCACAGCTCTATGATAAGATGCTACTGTGGCAATCTTCACGTCCACCTGAATTGTTGGGGCCAACTGGCTTTCACACATACATGTTTGTTAACCGCAAGAGATCTTGTACCTTTACCACATGCATAGCAATGTAATGTAAAATGGAGAAACAGGTGATTGAGCTCAGCGTAAGTACTGTCTTTACATGTTCCCACATAACGCAAAGAACTGCCAACCTTTTCTTTGCACTGTGATTTACTTTGCATAATCGATTGGTAGTGAAATATAGAAATACAGCAGGCATATCCATTCTGCAACGCCTTACAAGAAAGTCAAAATTAGGAACATGGCATTGACATTGCTTGTTTCAGCGCTGAAGCCTTTGACTTCGAAATCGGTGGTCAGTCGTGCAGCCACAAACTCTGGAACAAACAAAGAATCTGGAAGCCAACGACTGTACTGTGTATCAAGTGCTACTTCAAGACACTACCCTGGTGGTTTCACTTT